TATGATTACCACTTTTCCAGATTTAGACGTTATCATGCTCAAATTTGTCATATAGATATCAGTATCCAGTCTACCATACAAATACGCAGTGACAACGTCCATGAGCCTTTTGAGACTGATAAACTAATCAAGTATTGAAATGTGATTGCATCCATCATTGGTGAATACGTCTCATTGAAATCAATTCAGCCGTAAAGGTGGAATTTAATGATAATGAGTAAATCCAGCTGTAAAGGCGGAAACAAAGATTAAAGAACACATATAAGATCAAGGTACTTACTTTCAATAGAGGTGCAACGTTGCACTTGTTAAGCTCTTCGTGTTGATAATATGTTGTAATTTTAGTGGTGCAAGTGTAATAGACTAGACGGACTAAATATGAAGAAAATAAAGTTGAAAGGGGGTTCACTATTTGCTTCTCTCAAATGACTATGAAGTAAAACTGAAAAAGGGAAGGGGGTCCCTCCTCCACTCACCGCCTCAAAGCTAAGGTGGATGGACATTTTACTACATACTATTTGTTATACTTATTGTTTTGAACACAATGTTCAAAGATGGAAACCATTGACATGTTTTTTGTTCCAAGAAAGTAAGAATAATAATCAAGAAATTTGAATGCATCAACTTATGGGAAAGGGAGGACGAAGAAATAAGTAAAGAAAAATTGAAAAGGAATATACAAGAAACATATTATATTGTGACAAAATTAATTTTGTCAAAATGTTATTTTGTCACAAGTAATATAGGTATTATGACAAAATAAATAAATATTACATTAAGTGTGACAAAGGGAATATACAGTGACTAAAAAATATATTGTCATAATATTTTATCACAATAAAGAAACTCATAAGAAATATAGTGAAGAAAAACGTTTTTATCATAATATTTCCTCACAAATTTTTGACGCCAAATTTTGGCGTCCAGGTAAATTATTTATTGTGACAAACATATTTTATCATAAAATATTTTAGTTATTAGATTTAATTATACATGCTATAACTACAAATTATTTTGTCATAAAAGAATTTATTTATTATTACAAAAAAAAAATTTCATAATATATGCAGAAATAGTAATATTAATGACAAAATATTTGAGTCAAAATTAAAATGTTGAGATAAATTGTTTATCGTGACAAACATATTTGTCATCAAAAACTTTAGTTATTATATTTAGTAATACATGCTATAATTACAAACTAATTTGTCACAAAAGAATTATTTATTACTAATATATATATATATATATGTTAAAATCGAGATATTAAATATGAGTCAAATTAAATGTGATATAAAATCAATAATTCTTTTGTGACAAACTAGTTTGTAATTATAGCATGTATTACTAAATATAGTGACTAAAGTTTTTGATGACAAATATGTTTGTCACGATAAAACAATTTATCTCGGCGCTTAAATTTTGACTCAAACATTTTGTTATTAATACCTCCACTTCAGCATATATTATGACAATTTATTTTTGTAGCAATAAATAAATTCTTTTGTGACAAACTAATTTGTCATAAAAGAATTATTTATTTTTATTTTTTATTTTTAAAAACTCGAAAAGGCCAAAAAATTGTAAAAAAAATATAAAATCGTTAATAATTTTATAAATGTAAATATTATGTACCATTTTCGGGCTTTAATAATAAAAGAATACAAATCAAATTCAATCTGAATATAAATTACACAATAAAATTCTTAAATTGTACTAAACTAATCGTAATGTTACTTGAACAAGAAATATTATTAAAAATATATGTCATGTCTCATGAATTTTTCAGTACCTATTAGAAAAATACAATTAACTAGTTTACAACTTGAAAATAATTTGTCATTGATGTTGTGAATCTTAACTTGATGTTTGATTGTTTGAAGAACCACTCCAACAAGTGGAAGCAGAGGAAGAATTCAACATGTTTACAATGTGCAAAGCACGAGAAGTAGCAAACACGTTGATTGGCTTCATTTAGATAAATTATTCAGAATGAAAAATAATACCAAAATCGATTGTAATATTAGGGTTGCACGAGTTAGTCTCTGCATATTTTTCGCTCTCTTTTCTCTGTACTTCTCTTTGCTGAAACGGTCGGAAAGAAAGAAGTTGTTTATTTATTTATTTAATTATTTATAGTTAAAAATAAATATTTACTTTTATTTATTTAATTAACTCAATTGTACGGTATTTGTATTTTCTTGCCTTTTGAAGCAAACTTGACTTACTATTGCGTGAACAAATCAGAGCCTTCTGATGTAATGTTAATAGAAAAATGCCATGGATACCGACGCTTTGCACTAAATTTTTACACCGAACGATGTATACACTAAATCAGACGAGTCATATATCACGTTAATAAATATTCTGCGAATGAATGGTCGTCCATCAAATATGGACTACCATCCATTGTTATTGGACGACCGTTCATTTGAAATAAACTCTCGTCCATATTATATGGACGACCGTCCACCTAGAATGGACACCCATTCATAGTTTAAACTAAAAAAATTTGGCCTAAATTGTTTATAAATGCCCGTCCTCTTATGAGGACGATTGTCCATAGTTATGGACTCTCGTCCATATATTATGGACGGGAGTCCTTTTTTATGAACGGTCGTCCATATTAGACTGACAGACGTCCATATAATTTCGGATGAAATATTCACTTTTAAAGTATAAAATTTTGAGATGAAATAAAAGAAAAAAAATTGATTATTATTATTTTTTTTTCATTTATAAACAAAATGCAAAGCAAGAGAGAAATGAAATATGTTTTGGGAGGCCTAAGTTTTTAAACATTCTAATTGAAATTTTTAAAGAAAATTTTTTATTAAACTAAAATTTGGGTATGGACAAAAATTTAGTGAAGCTTGTCCAATTTGAATATTGACAAAAAAGAATGAAGATAGCGATATTATTTTTGGATTGAGACAAAATTGGATGTAAAATTTTTAAATTAAACAATGGATAGGCATCCATCTAAAAGGGACGCCTGTCCATCGGACTATAAAATTTTTTAGAGGGGCGTGGACGCTCGTTTATAGTGAATAGACACCCGTCCATATAAGATGGATAAACATTCATTATTTTCCTTTTAAAAAATTTTGGACAAACGTTAAATGAACGTACATTTATATAATATGAATAGGAGTCTATTAAATATGGGTGACTGTCCATAAACATTGAACGACCGTTCATTCGTAAAAAGTCCAACTGGTTGCCATATCGTTTGTACAAAAATTCGGTATAAAATTTTGGTGTCCGTACTCATGTTAATATGCACTTGAAAAATTGGGGTTAACGTATCACAAAGACATAAACTTGACGAAACAAGCTCTTCCTCACTTCGTAAACATTCAACGCCCAATCTTTCATACCCTCAACTTCACCGACACAGCAAGCGCATGCTCACAACCGGCGTCTCTAACGACACGGATCTCACCACGAAGCTTCTGTCTCAATTTGGAAATCACCAAGACTTCGATGATGCAAACCAAATCCTTTCTTCTTCTCTTGAGCCGACAACGTTTTCTTACTCTACTATTATCTATGCCTACTCGAAACAAAATCTTTTTACTCAATCGCTCAGTTTTTTCTCTCAAATGCTCTCTCACTGTCTCGCATCTAATGCTTGTTGCCTGATATTCTTAAGGCTTGCACTGGACTGTTGTCATTGGAAAGGGGATAACAAGTTCATGCAATGGTGTTTGTATACGGGTTTAATTTAGATCCGTTTGTTCAGACTTCTTTGGTTCTTATGTACGTTAAACGTTAGAAGAACATTGGGACGCTCACAAAATGTTTGATAGATTAGCCCAACCGGGCTTGAAAACTTTTAGTGCTCTGCTTGCGGCTTACGCGCGACAAGGGTGCGTGGATGTAGCGAAAAAACACTTTAACGACATGTGTCTTTCAAGAGTGGAACCCGATGAGTTTACTTGGAATGGTATGATTGCAGGGTTTAATAACAGTGGACATTATGAAGAGGCGGTCCTTTTGTTTCAAAGGATGCATTTTGAAGGATTTACGCCTGATGAGCACAGTGTTTCTATGTTCTTTCCGCTGTGGGCGACTTGGAGAATCCCGAACTTGTAATTGGTTTTGTTAATTTGATAAAATTAGTGTTAAGCGGAGCTTGATTGTTGGAATTGATCGTTGTTGTGTTGCGTTGCCGTGAGTTTTGTGGTTTTTTTCCAGCCGCCAATCTTCCCAGTTGCACCATCACTATTCACTGCATTTTTGAAAGTTGGCATACCAACTCTCGAATGTGTTGACTTGTTTTTGAGGCAGGGCAATTTGCTGGTGAAGTTAGAGCCTCTAGACTGTTGTTGTTCTTGGATGAGTTCTAATAGGCTTTCGGTTTGCTAGGACTGCCAATCAAGTCTTAGTTCTCAAGTGACATTTTTTATTTTCAGGAGCTAAAAAGAATATATAAGAGGAATCAGCACTAGGGAATAGATTTAGTTCTTGGAAAAATTCCACTGTAAGGCAAAATGGTGTAGTGAAGGAAGATAAAGTGAACTTTCGAAGAGTGGCTTATGTTTGGTATGTGAATTCATGAATAATAGATGTATTGGCATTTATCTATAAGCTCATAGATTTTGCAATGGAAATTTTGGCATTGATACTTCTGCTTTCCAATTATTTTTATTCTTAATGTTCAATTTGTTGGTAAAATTGTGTGCAGTCCTAAACGGCCATGAAATACATTATACATGGGTATGATACTTATATGATATCATAAATTCAATCCTATAGACCATGTGTCTTTCACTTGTTTTTGAGTTCTATATTCCTCTAGTTTACTACTTTTGTATCTTAACAATATAAAACTTTTTTTTACTTTCTTTGCAGGAGATTACCATTGCCCCGTGCTAAATAAAGTTGTCACTGAATTTACTCACATTGTTGCTGTCAGGACTACAGGGAACGTGTTCTGTTATGATGTATGTTTTTTGGATTGTCATCGCTTTTAGTGATATTACTTTAAGTTCTGAGCTCCTAAATGATGAACCTTTCATCAAGGAAGACCTTATAACAATTCAGGTTATTAGATGTTTAACTTGTTGATTGCATGGTAGTGGCTTTAAGTGGCATGAATTTTATGATTTACGAGGACTTTTTTTGTGGTGTGTTTTGCAGAATCCTAATGCTCTTGATTTTGATCTTGTTAAAAAAGGTCTGAAACTTGATGATGAAGGTGAGCCATACCATTTGCCACTATTGTAATGTCAATTTTAAATTTTTCTTTTCTTTTTTTCCTTAATGATTAAGAAAATGAATTCAGATCCAACCTATAACATAAACATTGCTGGAGATATCAAGCAGATGTTACAGGAGCTTGGAACTGAGAAAGGAAAACAAACTGCACTGCTTATTAAATATCAGCTGCCTTTAGAAATTATCAGCGGTGGAGAAGGTTATTGTTGATGACAATGAAGAAGAGGAAGGGAAGGCCAAAGAAGAGGAAAATGCTGAGGATGAAGATAAAATTAACTCTTTTAAATATCAGCTGCCTTTAGAGATTATCATTATTGATATAACACGCCTATATTATTTTGACAATAAAAAATTTGTTTATGTAAAAATATTTGTCTCAAAAATTATTTGTTATGCTATTAAATTTTTTGCAAAATTATTTTTGTCACTATACAATTTTTGACAAATAATATTGTCATATAGGCAAACATGTGACAAAATAAATATTGTCACAATAAAGTCAATGACAAATAAATTTCTGTCACTATTAAAATTATGTACAAATAATTTAGTCATTATTCACAATTTTGAGAAAATCAATTTTAGCATAATATATTATTTTCTCACCATAAAGCTTATCATTTAGTCTTTAAATATAAATTAATTGTAACAAAATATTACATATAGTGATAAAAATTGTTTTCTATTGTTACAAATCATTTATCACAATAAATTAGTTTAAAGTGACAAATTATTATTATCATAATAAATAATTAGACTATGGTGATCAAACGTTTTTTCGTCACCATACACTTAAGAGTACGACTGGACGAGCTTAATGTGACCAACCTGATGAACAATACAATTCCTCACATTAGTGAAATGGTCACGATTTTGATATTTATAGTAACAAATTATTTTGTTGGGAAAAGCCTAAATTCTTGTAATATAACAAAATAAAAAAATTAATACTTACATACTCTTGATCAAACTCCTTCCATTGCATAAATTGTATATAAATATTTAAGCTATGTTTGTTTTATTATTTTTTCCTATCCTATTCTTATCATACCCAAAATACATATTTATTTCATTATTCTCAAAATTCAATCTTATTCTATTAAACTCAAAATATTAAAAAATTTTAACCCCCTAGGTTTGTTAATTTAACTAAATACTCCTTAAAAAATATATATATATAAATTGACAAAAACACTCTCATCCACCCACATTTGTCAGATTGTGGCCACTACTGCTAGAAGGTGGTCGAAATCTACCGTAATAGCGCACCCTGACTAGATCTGGCTGGTAGCGCATTGATCTAGCCTTTTCGAAAAAGGGCAGATCTACGGCCAAAGATGTGGTCGTTGACGGCCACATTTGGTCATCGTTAACGACTAAATATGGCCAGATCTGGCCGTAGATCTGACCTTTTCTGGTGGATCTAGCCGAAAAATGCTAGATCAACACACTACCGGACAGATCCAACCAATAGTACGTCATTACAGTAAATTCCGGCCACCTTCTAGCGGTGGTGGCCAGAATCTGATAAATGTGGGTGAGTGGGTGGATGGAGATGTTTTTGTCAATTTATAAACTTTTTTGTTGGAGCTGTTTAGTTAAATTAACAAACCGATGTGTGTTTTTGTTAATTTTAAATCTTACGTCGTAATAACGACCTAACTTAACTTTTTAAAAAATACTACTAAAATTAATAAAACAAACATATCCATATATTTAAAAAAAAAAAAAAATCTCTTTAAATACCATTTAATACTGAAAATAGCCTTGTTTTTTTTTTTTTTTTCTTAATTTCAAACTTAATTAGAGTTTTTTTTTTTTAACATATCTTTTTCCCAATTTAAACTGAATTAGGTTTTTTTTTATTTATACCCATGGTTTTTAATTTCAATTTTGAAACTTACATTTTACTCTTCAAATTTATATTCGACCCTTTGTGTGACTACTTTATCTATAGCTTCAGTAATATATTTTCATTAAATAAAGAAATATTTGGAGAAAAAAAGTTTCAATGATTTAAAAAAAAATCGAATTTGGGTTTATGCAAGATTAAAACTTAAAAATTAAAACAAAAATATAAAATAGAATATGAGTGTATTTAGAAATTATTATGTCATTTTCAATCATTATTATTAAAGTTAAAATTGTCAAAATAAATAAACAAGTAAAAGTGGGATAGTAATCAATATGATGGGAGCTAAAAATCTTTTTTTTTTGTTTTTTCTGTTATGATTGCGGGTGTCTAAGTCAGTGTACGCATACTTTAACTAATCTTTCAAGACCATGGAACTATCGACCAGATAAAAGCTTCAGTAACTACCCCTATTAGCAATCAATGAGAGACTTGAACTGAAGACCTCTTAAGTAATATATCTAAAAGTCTCTATTGAACCACTCGATCACCTATAGATAGTTAGCTAAAAATCATTTCCCTTAAACGAGTCCGATGGTACTCTATAATACCAGTATCATGTGGAGGGAACTACATTAACCAATAAGCTGAGGCTGAAGCCGAAAGTCTTGATTGTAAGATGGGTTTAAAGCATAATGGATGAGCATCATTGTCTGCCTACTGATAAAATATTGCAAACTATCACTTTCTAAATGGAAGTGTGAACATTGCCTGATTTAATTAGAGCTGTAAACATATCGTCTCTAGTTGAAAATCTTGGAGACATGTCCGGTTTTCATTTTATAATTCAAGTAAATGTACTTTTTCAAAATTTTCTAAACGACAATGTCATTTTCAAAATCATATTTATTTATATTTTTTTCTTTTTAGTTGGGGAACAGCAAGAATATATCCGAATTCACATGTGAACTGTGAACCTCCAAGTTTTTACATAGACACCCGGAGACCTATAGGTTTTGAAATGGAAAACTCACACCTTATTAATTGATGGAAAATACCTATCATAAAAGTAAAGTAGACATCGCATTAAAAAATACAAGTTTTTTATTTCTCAAATGTCTTATCAAACACCAAAGTTTAATATTTGTAAATCATTTAATACACAGTTAGATATCAGCTCTTTATTGTTGTAGGATAAAAGATAGAATAAGGTACATGTTAGTTATTGTACTTAAATTCTGTACCATAAAATATATATATATTAACTGGATTGTCTGAACCAGCTTGCACAAACCTCAACTAATCCATGAGATTCCTTAAATACTCTAAAAGTCTAAAAGACAAGATAAGCCACAATGTTATTGTGATAAATGGCCCCAATATTTAAATCTAATAACTCAAGGGAGTGAGTAAATCTCCTTGACCGTCAGACCAATTCCTTGGGGTTACCAGAATTAACTTTTTACAATAGTCTGTCAATTACAAGGTGTAAGTGTTCCACTTTGCTTCTTTCACTAAACCTCAGAGGTCCACATAAAAACCTCAGTGAACCTTTATTACCATGAACAATTTATTCCTGTAGTGAAGAAAATTTATCAAGTTCATCTTTTTTTTTTCACTTTCATCTAGTTATAAATAATTATTAATTTGCGAATGATAATACCCACTTCTTAAAATGATTGATACTCGAACGAGCTCGAATCAGAATAAGATCTCTACACTTGCATATATCAAATCTTAATTTGGTGAAACATTTATCCACTAAAAGATAGGTTATTAAAAGTGTGAAGAAAGAAACACTTGAGTTCGAATCCCTCCAAGCACTAATAAGGGGGTCACTGAGGTTTTTACCCCATCAACAGTTCCAGAGCTCTAAATGATTAATTGAGGTATGCGCAAATTGGTTCAGACACTGCCAATGATAAAAGAGAGAGAAAGAGAATGGACTTTAAAAATTGAAAATCTTAAAGAAATTCATAGAAAAGTTAGCAAAGATTGAGAAAGAATTATAGCGGATGTATGAACAATGAATGAGGAGAAAATGAATTAATTGAGAAAGGAACGTATGGGACAGAAGCTGAGGTGCCAATATATGTGTCCAATCAACTCTGTTATGTATTCCTTCAAAGCCAATGTAGACTTTGCAACCAAATTTAATTCCCTACAGCCTCTACATTAAACTATTTGTCTCTTCTTTTGGATTTCTTTGCACTTGAATACAAATCTTTTGTTTTGGGGGGCATACTACTCTTGTTCAAGTTCAAACATACCTGTGTTTGAGTTTTTGAATCCAATTTCAATTAGAATCTCGCAATGCAAGACTCGTGAGATTTTTATAACATTCTTCTTCTTTATAGTGAAATTCTATCTATAATAGCAAAGTGGACATAACTCTTGTATTTTGTCATTTGTTTGCTTGTTTATTAGTGCTTTCATAGGTATTTAAGAATAGCAATTAACATAATAANTTTGTTTTGTTTTGTTTTGTTGCTTTGTTGTTTTGTTTTTTTTTGTTTTACCATGAGCATAATTACTTTAGTTCATAGTCCTTAAAAGTAAACCAATCTCATGCATTACAGGTGATTCGACATTGAGCCAAGTGATTCAAGCTCGAGCTCGATTTTGACTTGGTTGTAATCAAGACGAGCTCGAGCCGATCGTATTCTATTGAGTTCTATGCCAAACCTTTTGGGTGGAAAAACTTACTTATGCCAAACCTTGGGTGAAAAGTTGTCATTCACCCTTATTTTATTTGATAGGTTGAACTTTATACAAAAAAAATAAAAAAAAAATTAAGTACAATAATACTACACTTACAAACTTTTTTCAGTAATATTACACTCACTAACTTTCTTTTACAAACGTGACATATCAACTCGTAATTGGTCAGCTTGTAATGAGTCATGTTTGCCCAACAATGGATCCCACCTACCCAAATGCGAGTTGTCACGTCAGTGTGTTTGCGAGAGAAAGTTGTGATAAGTGTTTGTCAACCTATCTTTATTCAACTTTTTATACAAACTTTCTCTTACCAATGTGGCAAAAGATGATTGAGTGAAAGTTTATAAGTCAACCAATCATCTTTTGTCATATTAGTTTGTATAAAAAGTTTGTAAGTGCAAGAGTAATATTACATCCACAATCTTTTTATATAAACTTTCTCTCACAAACATATGTGATAAAAGATGATTGAGTGAAAGTTTATTTTAAATTTTAAATCACTAAATCATCTTTTATCATATGAGATTATGAAAGAAAGTTTGTATAAAAAGGTTGTGGATGTAGTATTATTAAAAATGTTAAGGATAGTTTTAGATGAATTGGTGTATATGTAAAGGATTAAGCTACTATAACTAGTAATCAATATATTATGTACTTAAAAAATAAATTAAAAGTATTCATTATTAATTGTATAAATTCTAATTATTCAATTGTATTAAATCAAAATGTAACAATCTGGTTTTCAAAATTTTGTTAAAGATAGGAAGTGCATTTAAAAGTACTCATCTCAAACGGTGATCTTTTTTAGTAATGCTATTTCTAAACGTCGGCAGTAGCGTGGGCCTTTATTGGGCCTGATAAAATTATCAGAGAAATTCGATAATTCGTCTCTAGCTACAGACATCGTCCGGGAATTCACCGGCTCAAACGTTCAACGGACTCAACCCTCGTAAAATCACATTCAACGAAACTCCAAACCCATAACACAAATACTATACTGAAGCAGAAAACATTAATAGCATCAGCGATTTCTGATTGTAAGATCAAACAGAGATGGGGAAGAAACAGCACAGCAAGGACCGAATGTTCATAACCAAAACGGAGTGGGCCACCGAATGGGGCGGTGCCAAGTCTAAAGAAATCCGTACGCCCTTCAAACGCCTTCCCTTCTATTGCTGCGCGTATGCGTTACTTACACACTCGCTGTCTCTTTATCTATGTATTCACACATAAGAACATGTGTTTGGGTTGATTGATATTTTTTGATGCAGGCTTACGTTTACGCCATTCGAGGATCCTGTGTGTACAGCTGATGGCACCTTATTCGATATAATGTGAGAATTCTTATTTTCATAATTTTAGATTAATTTGATATTCTAGGTTTAAGAGATTGTTTAGGTTTTAAGTTTGGGATTTTTGTGCACTTGCAGGACTATAACTCCCTATATTAGAAAGTATGGGAAACATCCTGTTACTGGAGCCCACTGAAGCTGAGCGATTTAATCCCAGTTACTTTTCACAGAATGCTGAAGGTTGGATTCTTTACTCCATTTTAACTGTTTAGTTCAATTTTGCTGTATAGGATTGTTCATTTTTTTTTTTTTCCTAAAGCTTTGCGATGCATGCTACTTGATTGCCTGAGTTCGAGGAAATGGGTGATATTAGACATGAAGATTATGGTCTGATTCAAGTTAAATGTATGAGTACAATTCAAGGATTTTAATAGACAGTCTTAGTTTTGACATTGGGTGGGCCTTTTACAGGAATATGCTTTCTCCAATAAATGTGTTACCTGTAAATTTTTAATGATTGTGGAATTGCTTATGTGTGATTGTGTTTAAGAGTTTGGGTTGAAAATTGTGTAGGAACTATTCTAAACTAACTTGAGCTGTTTCCATTTTCATCATTCTGTGGTGAGCAGTTTTTTAGGATGACAAATAGATAAAATATTCTAAATGAGCTAGTTTATAACTTTGTACTGTATGCGGTTATGGAGTCATGGTAGTGAAGATGATAGAATGATAATCTTGAAGGACTAGAGAATGTGTTGACTTGTTTTTTAGGCAGGGCAATTTGCTGGTGAAGTTAGAGCCTCTAGACTGTTGTTGTTCTTGGATGAGCCTAAGAGGCTTTCAGTTTAGTAACTGCCAATCAAGTCTTAGTTCTCAAGTGACATTTTTTTTTCAGGAGGTAAAAAATATATAAGAGGAATCGGCACTAGGGAATAGCTGTAGTTCTTGGAAAAATTCCACTGTAAGCAAAATGGTATAGTGAAGGAAGATAAAGTGAACTTTCCAAGTGTAGCTTATGTTGTGGATGTGAATTTATGAATAATAGATGTATTGGTATTATCGGAATTTAGTTTTAATTGAATGAATAGAGAAAGAGATCTTCAACAACTTCTTGTCGACGGAATATGATGGCACTATAGCAGATTTCTGATGTCACTATATCTATAAGCCATAGATTTTGCAATGGAAATTTTGGGATTGTGATGAGACTCCCTGCACTGATAACAAACAATAGCCAAACAGTACAAGATAACAAATATGTTCACCACAACAAGCCTCAACCAAGTATATAATGGAGAAAAGCAAAGAACAACCAAAACAATGATAAACTCAACATAGATCCCAGCAATTCGAGGAGCTGGGGACCTCCTACAATGACACTATTTTTGATCTCCCCCCTTCACCAAAACTGACCCTTTATTTATAATACCTTCATGACTACCTATTCAACTAACAACTTGATTCCCCTTCACACGTGGCTGTAACCAATTTCTCTAACAACTAACAGCAAGCACCTCCACTCTTTACCCCTTTCTGACCTATTGTCGCTTATGCCCTCTGTATTTGTAAACATGCTTAACGGGAGGTCTATCAATACCCCTCCCTTGAAGAACCAACTGTCCTCAGGTGGGAGATGGAAAATTTTCACCCGATACCACACCGCTCCTCCACTCCTTTACTGCCCTCTGCTTCCTTACTCAATTCTTCCTCATCTTCTGTCATTCGCCGGGAAGGGGTTGTTCGCAGTTGGGAGAGGTTGAATCGATCTTTTGAAGAGCTGTCCAGCTTGTACTCTGGTGACCGGAAGTCGGTGCCGGCCGACTGCCTCTCCTCCATGGGCGGCACTCCGACGAGGGGTTGACGGAGTGTTGCTGTTGATTGAGAAAGGGATATGTTCTAGATCTGTCGAATGAGCGATTGTGTTGTATATGAACCTAGATCCAATTTCTCTTGATCCATTACCCGCCTTGACCCATACCTAGCTGACCCGAGTCCACTTCCAGGTCCATTCTCCAATTGCTCAAGCCCACACTCAATTGTATGTGTTACTCCCGTTTACCTAGCCCAACTGAAATAATTCCTCCATTAAACCCATACAGCCCAATTGGTTTTTCAGCTGTCTTAAGCCCAAACTTCATTCTTCTGCAGCCCATTCTTCTCCTCTATTTTCTCGGCTAACTTAATTATTGCATTAATAATTGGGCTGGCCCAATTTGACTTCAGCTTTTAGATTTGGTCTAAGCCCGTTTAAGAAATTGGCCCACATATGTCTTCTTTTTCTTCACACAATGGAGCAGATACAGCTTCAAACTTCCGGCAATATTCTTCCATTGTACGGCTTGTTGGATTCCCATCAGGATCTTGTACGACCCTTCTTCCTGTGAGCCACTGAACCAACAGCAAGGCAAGTTTAAAGGCGGCCCATGTTGTCACAGGAGCTCGCACCTCCATCCACTGGAACCAATTGATTGCGTCGCCCTCCATGCAAACGGCCACGTGGCCAACCTCTCGTTTTCAGCCACTGATACACCTTAAAATACCTTTTTATCCTGAATAACCAAACGTACAGATTCTTCCCTATGAATATCGTATTTCGATTCTCCGGCCATCTGACTCTGGTCGATTTCGTTCAGTAACTATGGGTTTGCCATTCTGGTTGCATTGGGTTCACTGTTCTCTTCCCCTTGGTTTCGATTCTTTTCACGCTCTTTCGTTGACCCTCCCTCTTAACTCCTTTGGTTTCCTCCTCTCCTCCTTTCGCCTCATCCGCTAGCATCTCCTTCAAGCATCTTTGATCGTTCTCAAATCTTCCTTCATCGATCTCATATCTTTTTCCACATTTCCCATCTAGTCTCCATTTCCCGCTTTTACCCGTCCCAACCTTGGCTCTGATACCATTGATGAGACTCCCTGCACTGATAACAAACAATAGCCAAACAGTACAAGATAACAGAATATGTTCACCGCAACAAGCCTCAACCAAGTATATTAATGGAGAAAAGCAAAGAACAACCAAAACAATTGATAAACTCAACAGATAGATCCCAACAATTCGAGGAGCTGGACCTCCTACAATGACACTATTTTTGATCTCCCCCTTCACCAAAACTGACCCTTTATTTATATACCTCATGACTACCTATTCTACTAACAACTTTGATTCCCTTCACACGTGGCTGTAACCAATTTCTCTAACAACTAACAGCAAGCACCTCACACTCTTTACCCCTTTCGACCCTATTGTCGCTTATGCCCTCTGTATTGTAAACATGCTTAACGGGAGGTCTATCAGATTGCTACTTCTGCTTTCCAATTATTGTTATTCGTAATGTTCAATTTGTTGGTAAAATTGTGTGCAGTCCTAAACAGCCATGACATACATGGTTATGTTACTTGTATGATATCTAAATTCAAGCCTATAGACCATGTGTCTTTATCTTGTTTTTGAGTTCTATATTCCTTTGGTTACTACTATTGTATCTTAACAATATAAAACTTTTTTCACTTCTTTCTTGCAGGAGAGTATCATTGCCCCGTGCTAATAAAGTTTTCACTGAATTTACACACATTGTTGCTGTCAGGACTACAGGGAACGTGTTCTGTTATGACGTATGTTTGTTGGATTGTCATCACTTTTAGTGATATTACTTCAAGTTCATGTTATATAGTATGTAGAATAATTCCTCTTTGTATACTCCTTGTTTTCCCCCCCCCCCCCCTTTTATAGGCAATCAAAGAATTAAACATCAAGACGAAGAATTGGAAAGAGCTTCTAACTGATGAACCTTTCACTAAGGAAGACCTTATAACAATTCAGGTAATTAGTTGTTCTGAACATACGATGTTTAGCTTTGTTGATTGCATGGTGGTGCTTTTAAGTGGCATGAATTTTATTATGTATGAGGACTTTTTTTGGTGGTGTGCTTTGCAGAATCCTAATGCTCTTGACAACAAGGTTACTCTTGATTTTGATCATGTTAAAAAAGGTCTGAAACTTGATGATGAAGGTGAGCCATACCATTTGCCACTCTTGTAATGTCAGTTTTAAATTTTTCTTTTCTTTTTCTCCTTAATGATTGCAACATCTTGTTTTCCATACTCCAGAACTAAATAAAATGAATTCAGATCCAACCTATAACATAAACATTGCTGGAGATATCAAGCAGATGTTACAAGAGCTTGGAACTGAGAAAGGAAAACAAACTGCACTGCTTGGGGGAGGTGGTAGCAAGGCCCAAAAAGAAAGAGCTGCTGCCCTTGCTGCCATTTTAGCTGCAAGGTCACGCATTATAGAGGATACCAAATCAGATTCAAATGGAAATGCTAAAGCTACTCAAGGTTTCAGTATTGTTGATGCTGCATCGGCTTCAGTTCATGGAAGAAGTGCTGCTGCAGCCAAAGCTGCATCCAGTGATAAAACAGCTGCTCGGATAGCCATGCACATGGCTGGTGACAGGGCTCCTGTGAATGCAAAGCTGGTTAGTAGGTTTTTTTTTTTTTTCCCCAGAAATTGAGTTCTCCCATCATTCTGTTTCTTATTGAAAATAAACAAAGGTGGTTATTAGACAGAACACTGTAAAATAAAGGCCCAAATAAATGATAAATATGAAATTCAGTATCCACCATCCAGTCCCTATGTCCCAAAAGCTTATTTTCAAGGAGTAAAGTTTTTTTTGGAAATTACTTTTAATGAAATTGCTCCTATTAGCCATATCTTTGTAATTTGCTGTGTCCTCAATTATAAATAGTGTAATCTAGAGAGAAGACTTGTCTTTTAAGCATCAATCCTCAATTGCTACATGTTAGCTTACCTTCCAAGTCAATAAAGTGTAGTCCAACTGAGTAGACTGCTGCTATCTTTGCTTGTGTGGGCACTTTCTTTTTTTGCTTGGACATAGATGAGTCGAGTTGTTGAATTATGGACTTATAATGTCAAATTTATATGAATATATAATCTCTTGTAGTGACCTGCTTGAATGTTGTACTGACTACCAAAGTTTGTGGTCCTGCAGTAGCCCCAAGTTCTGGATTTTGTGACTTGTAAGAAAGGTTGAGGATCTCTCTGTCAAAAAATAAGTTCTGATTTTCTTGGTCATAGTTATTGATATCATAACTAAATAGTACTGTATATTGTAAAAATGTCGGAAACTACAATGAGCAATGGTGTGTCTTGATACAAAGGCCAAGGATTGGGCTTATTACTGGAAGCCCTCAGTTTCGGCAAGAAGGTTAACAGTTCAAACCCCCTTGGATATTTTATCTCATAACTTTTTGGCTATGAAGGTTGTAGGATTTGGAAATAGTCCTTAGTTTAGAACTCGGTGAATATGTTGGGGAGGTTGAGGAATCTAGGTATCAAAAGGGAGAAAAAGGTATTAGTGATTTTCAACATGAATTTCTGCTGCAGGTGAAAAGTCGGTTTACCACAGGTGCTGCATCACGGTCCTTCACATCTACCTCATATGATCCTGTCACCAAAAATGAATTTGAATATGTCAAAGTCGAGAAAAATCCCAAAAAGAAAGGCTATGTTCAACTGCATACAACGCATGGTGATTTGAATATTGAGCTCCACTGTGATATAGCTCCAAGAACATGTGAGAATTTCATTACACTCTGTGAACGTGGCTATTATGACGGAGTAGCTTTTCATAGAAATATCAGGTAGAGTGACAGATACTCAATTCAAATTCATCGGATGTGATTTTCTAGTTGGTTTCTTGGCAACACTTCATATTAATAAAATGTTGTTATGTACCTCTGTAGGAATTTTATGATTCAAGGTGGTGATCCTACTGGTACTGGAAAAGGAGGTGAATCTATATGGGGAAAGCCCTTCAAAGATGAAGTGAACTCCAAGTTACTTCACTCTGGAAGGGGTGTTGTTAGTATGGCAAACAGTGGTCCGCACACAAATGGTTCCCAGTTTTTCATTTTGTATAAATCTGCAAATCATTTGAACTTCAAACATACAGTTTTTGGAGGAGTTGTTGGTGGTTTGACTGCATTGGCAGCGATGGAGAAGGTTCCCATTGATGATAATGACCGACCTTTGGTGAGTTCTTTGTTTAGCATTAATCTCTCCAAAACTACATATATTTTAAACCTGTATCTAATTTTTTACTGCTTTCTGTTTTACATTTAAATGGTATTCCCTGACTGATGATAGATGTAGTGTGTATTTAGCATATGATCTTTTTGGGAAGCAAGACCTTCTGTTTATATTAGTCCTGTATGCCTTTTGAATTTTGGTGAATGTTGTGTTAGGAATCAGTATATTATTTGGTAACATATGCTATCTGGAAGGTTGAGCTTCAAACTGGCTTCAACTTAACTCAAAGTTGCATATCTAGAAATACAATGTTCATGATTTTTATGAAGATACTTTAGTATGTTCTGATCAAATTAGTTGCTGGACTCTGCCTTAATCATAAAATCAGTTGACTTGAATTAAATTATTTAATCCTGCCCTCATTATATGTTTTTTTCCTCTCATTTGTGTAGGAGGAGATTAAGATAACCAATGTAACGGTGTTTGTCAATCCTTACTCAGAACCAGATGAAGAAGAGGAAGAGAAGGCCAAAGAAGAGGAAAATGCTGAGGATGAAGATAAAGTTCGTTTCAGGACTCTTTAAATATCAGTTGCCTTTAGAAATTGTTTTTCCAGGATACTAGCTGATCTTTCTCTTGGTGCATTTCAGGATAAGGTTGGATCATGGTATAGTAACCCGGGTACAGGAGCAACAGAAGCCGGAGCAATTGGTGGTGGAGGTGTGGGGAAGTACTTGAAATCAAGGAATCAACAAATTGAACCTATTGCAGATGACAGAGGATTGAATGCCATTACCGCAGCTAAGAAAAGGAAAGTGGGAGTTTCAACAGGTGAATTCAAAGATTTTTCTGGGTGGTGAGATTTCTGTAATCTGGTACCATATTTTCAGACAGTGAATACTATTGAACTGGTATTTGCCGGTATTGTAACATAATTTTTAAGCTGGGGGAGGAAAGAAACAGAAAAGGCAGCAGCATTTTTTATTTTTCGTTGTTGTATGTACAATAATGCATTGTAGCAGAGTTTGCTTTAGTTTTTTTCTGATAAATGCAGATTTTGGTCAAAGAAATGCTTTTCTCTTGCGGCATTAAATAACAATTGACTTCTGTTCCTTTTCTTTTAGGAGTAGGTTTGGAGTTCCCAGGCCTTTGGCCCTTTCCTGGTTTCTCTTTTCCCCATCAATTTACAGAATAACTGAAGGTTTTCTGATCAATTTCTTTAGAAACAGTATTTCTGTACCCTGCAGGGCCTCGACTCCAGTTGGTTCCACTTCCACACACTCTTTCTCTCTCTCCTTCTTGTATGGACAAACTCTGGTATTAACTGAACTGATGGGTGATGGCTGCTGCTTTGATTCTTTAGAACGTTGCACTTTCAAAGGCCCCATCTGGTTTCTGGTTTCTGGTTTCTTCACGTTTATAAAAATGTTATTAAACACGTTCAGCCTCATTTGGTATTTATGTAGAATTGTTTATTACGCGAATGGTATTAACAATAGCATTTTTCATGCAGAAAAGATGTGTTAAATCAGTCTGTCCCTCTCCATGGAAACGTGAAATAGACGGTGAAGCAGAAACCTATTTTTCCATTTAAACCATACTTCTGCAAGGTGTAAATGTACAGTTTTTTACAGAGTCTTCCTGGTAATATATAGTGTATATTCTTACATATTTATAGTAACAGAACTCTACAACCATATAAGTAAGGCAGTAACTACAACTACCCTGATCTACGTGATTAACGCACCAAGGAGTTCTGATTATCCAACCTGAACGTGAATGAGAATTAAAAGATGAAGATGGATGGATGATTACTTGTATAAAGCACCGATTTGAGATTTTATTTAGCCCATCTAAAGCATGTCTATCAAACCCATATCCTGATTAAATCCTCCACACACTCATGGAGATGTACAGAATCCAAAAGAAATTTGATGATACGATATCATATGATGTTATTCTTTTCTTGGGAATCATATCCACATAAAATCTTCTTCACTGTCCTGCAACAAGAGACCTTACAACGATCATTTTCATATATTTGCCAGAAGCATGCATAAAATTCACACACTTCTGGCCCACCAAAGGAATCGAGTTTTTGTTTGGCTACTCATTGTGGGTGATTTTGGATGTTCTTGTGTGACGTACAAGCAACGCAATTGATGACGCCAGTTGGTGCCAAGTCGGGAGGAACCTACTCCATTTCAAAAAGAATAAGATGAGCATCATCCAGAGTATATGTATATGTATAGGACCAACACTTTACAATTGTATTTAAACCCAATATTGTTTAAAGTTACTGATTGGTAATGTAACATGCATTTTCCAGACTGACGTAGATTTTATATTATTTCTGTCATAACTTAAAAATAAAATTTAGTAAAATCGATAAAACTGAGTTTATTTCAGTGTCACAAACATGAATTCTTATCCTACCTCTACTAACCCGCTGTATATGCATAATACTTGATGTAAATTATTGAGTTTACAGGAAAGCTCATATGGGGAGGTGTTTTCAGCTTGTTGAGATGATTACATACTTTACTTTTTACATAAAACACAGAAAAAAGAGATTTGACTGCACAACTACCATTAAAGCATGTCAGTACATAATATAGTTCACTTAGCTTCTTTCTTTAAAGTAAATTATTGTGATCATAGTCACCCCTTTAGTTTTTTCATACAAGTTATCACCACTGAAGAAACTCATTCTCTTCCTAGATTTTACTTGAAATGGTAACCTAAACATCATAATATATTTCACAGCTGAAATTATTATAGTAAAATTTCTTCACCTCTTTTTGCTTTAATTTGAATATGCTCCAACCTTTATCATGTCACTATATTTTTATATCTTTTTCTTTTCAAATACTAGCTTCCAGTTTCATAGAAAAGTTTTCCAATATTTTGAAGCGTCTAAAAAACCAATCACGGGTCTCAATTTTTGGTTCTGCGTGACATAGTTGAGAAAATAAATCTTAATTTCCCATTACAATTAGGTTAACTGCTCTGATCATTAAACCTCACATGCAGGACCACCTCTCCTAACATCATCAATGGATGAAAAAAGATAGGCTGCAAATAAAAAAGTCGGTCATGGAAAAGGAGAGGTAGGGGCCTTGTGATTAATGGGTTGATAGCATTAAGCCACCTCAAAGATTTTAACGATCAATCAATTGATTCTCCACTGAAAGCCTTATTTTTGCAGGTCAGCTGATATATGGAGGTGGGGTTGCTGTAGCAGATTTGCAGTCAAGCAAAGGTGAAAGGAAATAAAGAAAAAAAAAATGCTATAAAGAAATTGTATATATAAATAAGTTCTTAACAAGGACTATATATCTGGTTTCGGTAACCCCACAATTACGTTTCAAACTTCTGAAGTTTAATTTATTTCTCTTCTTAATTTTGATTTCTCATTTTGTCCATAGAAGAATATAATAATACTTAAGTTGCATGTCATGCATCACGACCACCCCAATCCTAATCAGAAGTTGTATTATGGTTGAGGCAGCGACATTTCATCTGCACATTTTAATTTAATAAAACCTGAATTAAACCAATTAAGGGACCCAGAATACTATCGAACATCCCTTAATTTAAGCCTTTGTATTTTGGATTTTTTACTAATATTGATTATGTATGCAATTAACATCATATAAATAGTATATTATTTTGAATGATATAATAAACCAAATAAATGAATAATATATTTGCCCGTGGCTGTGGTCCGAGGGAATTGGAACCGTTGAAGAGAATAAATTTTCAAAGAATTTTTCGGGAATTGAGTGACCCAATTCCCCTTTCATCCACAGTACACAGGGAATTGAAAAACGCGCGAGCAATATAATCCTGTCTAATAAAAACTACCTTAAACAAGTTGTTAATTACAAGCGACAAACAGTTCAAATGTGGAACTCTTCCTAATCATTGATGGAGAAAACCAAAGACAAAGATGAAGCAAACATAATAACTTGAAAAACAAATAGATCACATGGAGCAAAGGAATTGGTTGACTGGAAGGATGTGAATGGTAAATATAGAATTCTCTTAGTAAAGGGAATTAAAGGTGGAGGTTGAGGACAAGAAAATAGAGACAATGGAGAGTCATGTTGGGTTGTGGTGGTAATGATATTGAAGCAACTTAAGTAGGAAGATAAGTTAAAAGAAGTACAGACTCAAGTGGGAGGGAGAAGACCAAGCCATAAATTTCATTGTGGTATCTAGAGAAATGGCCTAGTTTTGAAGTTGTAGTTGGAGAATATATAATATGAGAATGTGTGGGGAAAAAGAAAAGCGGAAAGCATGCCCTAGAACTTTGGTATCAGATTATAAAATGAAATAATAATTTGATAACATGCAATGTATGGGTTAGTGTAATATTTGTATAGAGAAGGGAAAAAAGTAAGGGAAATATTGACAGAGTTTGGAAAGGGATTAGGAGGCAAGGAATGTGAATGAGTTGTGTTGAGGTGATGGTCTCATGGGATTATGATGATGCACGCCGGCAGCTTTACTCATGTCTTTCTCTTTCTTCATATACAATAACACAATTGGCACGCCTGCTCCCACTAGAACCTATTATTATAACCTTCACTTTCTCTCTTTTATAACAATGAAAAGCTAACCCACTAACCCATTTGGTGATCTCGACCTTGTTATCTTTTTCCCCCTTTTTTCTCTTTTCTCTTTCATCTTTTGTCAGACTCAATTCTATTTCTAAAACTCCACCTCCATTCTAACTTTCCTCTATTAGTCAAATTGCTTGATAATTTAATTTTATAAAGAAAAATAAAGAATCCCAAAAGCATAAGCTAGATAGAAAAAGAAAACCCCCAACCCCACTTCCATTCTTCATCGATTACACAAAAAGAAAAGCACTGTTTTTGCTATTTTACTTATAGATTCCCATCTCCCACCTTCTTATTTTGTGTTAATGAAAAAACCTAAACTAAAATCCAATTTTGAGATCCTCTTTTAATCATTCCTCTGTCCCAAATCAACTGTTTAAAACTCACCATCTTCCTTCTGTTCAAATCCCTCAAAAACCCTTCTCACTTGATCCAAACTCTCTCTAATATTGATGTTGCTCTCTTCACGTTAAATGGATACTTTGTTTAGACTTGTTAGTCTCCAGTCTGATCAATCTTTCAACTCTAGCAGAACCTCAAGTAGCTCCAGATCCTCCAGACAAAACAACCACAACAATCACTACCAGCAAGAAGACGAAGAATGCTTCAACTTTTTCATGGATGAAGAAGACTTCTCCTCGTCTTCTTCCAAACACTACTATCCTTATCATCAACCCCACCCTTCTAACACCACCACAACTCCTACCACCACCACTACTAACACTAGCACCCCTACCCATCAACCTTTTGAACCCACTGACTTCTCTTTCTCTCCTGCTCGTGACCTCAATTTCGAATTCTCTTCCCACTGGGCTACCGATATTCTCCTCGAAACCGCACGCGCTATTGCCGATAAAAACAGTGCTCGCCTTCAGCAATTGATGTGGACGCTCAACGAGCTCAGTTCACCCTATGGCGACACCGACCAAAAACTCGCTTCCTACTTTCTTCAAGCCTTGTTTAGTCGCATGACGGATTCTGGCGAACGGTGTTACCGTACTTTAGCTTCGGCTTCGGAAAAAACTTGCTCTTTCGAGTCAACAAGAAAGATGGTATTGAAGTTTCAAGAGGTAAGTCCTTGGACTACTTTTGGTCACGTAGCTTGTAATGGTGCAATTATGGAAGCTTTTGAAGGTGAAAACAAATTACAAATTATCGATATTAGTAACACATATTGCACACAATGGCCTACTTTACTTGAAGCCCTAGCCACTCGTACGGACGAGACACCGCACCTGAGGCTAACCACTGTTGTGGCTACAAAATCCACAGGTGGAAATTCTAGTGGTGGAGGTTTAGCCACTGTGCAAAAAGTAATGAAAGAAATAGGTAACAGAATGGAAAAATTTGCTAGGCTTATGGGTGTGCCTTTTAAATTCAATGTTATTCACCATGTTGGTGATTTATGTGACCTAAATTTAGCTGAACTAGATATCAGAAACGATGAAGCTCTAGCTATAAATTGTATCGGTGCTTTCCATACGATCACAGCAGTTGATAATCGTAGAGATATTCTGATATCAAGTTTAAGAAGATTACAACCGAGGATAATCACTGTTGTTGAAGAAGAAGCTGATCTTGATGTGGGTAGTGGTGGGGTTGAATTTGTTAACGGTTTTCAAGAATGTATTAGATGGTTTAGGGTTTACTTTGAGTCGTTAGATGAAAGTTTCTCAAGAACGAGCAATGAACGGTTGATGCTTGAGCGAGCAGCCGGACGTGCGATGGTGGACCTGGTGGCGTGTCAACCATCAGATTCGATCGAAAGGAGGGAGTTGGCGACGCGCTGGTCGCAACGTCTCCATGCAGCAGGGTTTAGCCCTAGCATGTTCAGTGATGAAGTGTGTGATGATGTACGCGCCTTGTTGAGGAGGTACAAGGAAGGGTGGTCAATGGCACAGTGCCCTGATGCTGGAATATTCTTGTCATGGAAAGAGCAAAAGGTGGTTTGGGCGAGTACATGGAGGCCTTAATTGAAGATTGACGAAGAAGAAGAAGAAAGATTGATGAAGATGAAGATGAATCAGTCGTGTTTATTTTACTTACAAAGCTTGGAGTTGTGTAGTTGGAGAGTGATTAAATTCACACGTGTGACATGGTTTTTTTTTTCTTTAGCACGTGCATGCATGGGGGGGTTGGGGATTGTTAAGTGTGTTAATTGATTAGAAGAACGATGATTTGATTTGATGATGAGTAACTTGATGATCATCTTCGTTAATCTTAATTTTGTTATTAATTTTTATTTTCAAGAAAATTCATAGCCTTCTCATATATGATCATCAAAATCTGTATAACGCATAATATATACTTCAATGAAGACAAAATATAATCGGGTCAATCATGGAACAAGCGGAGCATGTATTTTGTCAATGGATTTCATCTTATGATCAAAATACCCAGTCTTTACGCGTATTATCAACACCTTGATGATGACCAAATACACAATTAAGACAAAGAAAATAATATGTAATATAGTTTAATTTAAGATGGTTGGTGGCTTGGTCTGTCATATTTTATTATTAATTAAGTTAGTTTTCAATAATCTATTTATAAAATGGGGTTGGTGTAAGAAGGTGATATCAGCTGATAAAATGTTTATTGTTTAATTTAGAATTAATAAAAAGGAAAAAGAAAAAGGGGTGTAGAATCTTAGGACGGCCAATCCATTGCAAATGGCGAATCTTTAGTCAATAGTGGTATATAGGATGTAGTGGCCACCACCACGCTTTGTTCATCTCTTTCTCCTCTCTTCTCTTTCAAGCTTTCTGGAGCCTATCTCAATCCTTCATCACAACCCCGCCCCACTCCCGCCCTATCATTTTTGGAAATTTGGAGGTAACATTCTCTTTACTAAATCAATATATCTACATTTAATTTGAATCATTAATTAAATTTATAAAAGATAAAGCAAGGAATACTTATTTAATTTTAAAAGATAAAATCCTTTTTGGAAAAAGTATTTGATATGATAATCTTAATTATAAATGACTCAAATGCAAATGCGACAACGTTTGATGTAGTAATGTTAACAGGAGGAGAAGGTACTTTTTGGCCCACAGAAGAGTTAGGAAATAATTAAAAAAATTCAAATAGTGGGAACTGCTTTTTAGGGTTCACATCTTAATCTTTTGATAAGACTTGCCCCCCTCCACGTTAACATTCACATCAACCTTTTTATCCTTTCTTTTTTTTTTAATTTCAAATATTTATTTATAAAAAGGAGTTGGCCTGGCCCATCACTTCAGGCTTTCTTGCTTTGTTATTGTTATCATTGTTCATTGACGAAGACTAGGTAGCTGGCTGTCTGTCTGTCTTTTCCTGTTGAATGAAATCAATCTTTTTATGGTACCAAATTAAAATGCCAACTCGTTGAATAAAAGTTTGATTCCCATGTTTTGACTTTACTTCTTTCATTTTAATATGTTTTACATTTCAAAGCTTTTGAATGAATCTCTATCTGGGCTTCAGAGCCCTTAGCCCAAACTTCAGACGACTGGGTTCAGGCGTTTCAGTACAATAATTAAGAGTATAAGCTAACTACTCCATGTAGTCTGCAACAGCGTCATTGTCTAATGGAGTCATTAGCAACTCTAATGTCATGAAATTTGTACACCCCACCAACATGGCAAAACATAATTGGTTCAATTTCTTTTAGTTGGGAATTACCACAACCTATACGAGGCTAATACCCTTTACTATCATCTTCCCTAATAGCTTCAATATTCATCATCAAATTACTCAAAAATCCCCCTAAAATATAGTGGAATGGCAGTTTCACCAAATCCACTAAACAATCAATAATTCAAAAAATAGTTAGGACTACCCAACGTGATGAAACTCTTAAAAACATAAAATCCATCCTGTCAAAATATCATTGTTGAATATGGGTTTGTGAAGATGATTGTGTCATACAATATATTTATTTTTAAGTATTTTCTAACAGATGGTTGTTTTTCTCCATAAACATTCAACTAATATTAACATTGCCGGCGCAAAGACACATAAATTCCCTGCAGTGCTTCAGACCCAACATTGTAATCCGGGTTATTGCCGTGTGTGTGACCTAAAAAGCACAAGCTTTTAAATAACAAGACACAAGTATGGTCTATGAAAATCAGTGAGAAAATGAACAAGGAGCTTTATCATATATAATACACTAAAATCATATAGAAAAATGTACCTAAAATCATATCAAAAACTCCATCTTGGAGGAAGTCTCCACTTTTTATGCCAATATATTGACACTCTTGACCATAAAGGGAAGCCAAAATTGTACTCGAGTGGCCGATCAGCAGGTCCCCCTACTATCAAAGGTAACCAGACGTATCTTGAGTCCCTCAAGTCAGCTGGATTCCACCGATCTGCCATGAAAATAAATGAACCTGGAAGTCCCGGCACAGGAATCACATATGTGCTCTGTGCAAAAAATGTAGTAAGCCGAAATATTTTGTTCCCTCCAATGCATGGGTTTCCCATTATCTCCCATGGCCCCATAATTGACTCAGCAGCGTGTATAATCGCTTCATTTGGGGCCCATCCGCTGCAGCCTGATGTGACCATGTAGTAAGTCCCCTCAAACTTAAACAGAGCAGGGGCTTCCCGGTGTTGTCCCACGAGAATCCTTCTCACAACATCTGTTACATCGAGATAATCTGCTGTTAGAGGTCCAATGTGAAGATCACTATTGTCATCAGTAGAATAGATAAGATATGCTACACCATCATCATCTTTAAAGATTGTCATGTCCCTGCTATCAAATCCATGAGGCCGCTTGCTATAGAGATAATCAAAAGGACCAGTTGGGTAATCACTAATGGCAACACCAACAGCAGCTTTAGTGTAGTTGCAATCATCCATATGCATCCACATTACATACTTTCCTGTATTCTCATTGTAAATCACTTTTGGTCGCTCAAGCACATTTGATTTGTGGAGATCATGGGTTTCATTAGTCTCTTCCGCGGCCAAAACAATGCCCTCATTTTTCCACGTCCATAAGTCCTTGGAGGAATAGCAACTAACTCCTATGACATCAACCTGAATTCAGGAAAAAAACTCAGCAATTCAAGTTCTTGCAAGTAACAAGCATAACTTGCAGTTTTATAAATTCCAGTTGCTCATCAAGGTTTGCAGAACCAAAAAAAAAAAAACAGAGAGAGAGAATTGCAGTTAATAGAGAAACAAGGAACTACACATCTGAAAGTAGATACTCAAGTAAGGAGCTATTACGACTTGGCATGTTATGTTAGTGGCCTTGTAACTAAGGCACCAATGCAGGAAAAGTTAAATGAAATTACAAGCTGATATCAAAGAATATTACGACATATGTAAGAGCACAAAAAGCAGATAATATGCACTTAGTTCGATGGACCAGAAATGACAAAAGATACCATAAAAGGTAAGACCCAGGGAAATGCAGAAATTGCTTTGATTTATAGGTTTAAGAGATTGTGCAACAAACGAAAAAATATCTTTACCACATTATCACTATCAATGACAACATGTGCTTCTTTTGGAAAATTGTACTACAGTTTGTTGATGATACTAATCCCTAAAAAGAGAATTAAAGGACATCTAAGTGAAAGAAAAACTGTAGACCAGGTTATTGTTGGAGACAGCCTCCGAACCCATTAGTTGGTTGATAGCTGATTAAAGCTTAAAAGATAACATCCCAGTTGAAAAATTCATAGTACAGTAAAATCATTATCTGCATGCCTAGTCATAATCTTAATAAATTTCTTAACTGAAAAACAGTTTTTACACCCTACTCCCCAATAAACTTGGAAACCATAATCATGCAAGACTTCATAAGTATATCTATTTGAAAATCTGCTAATCAAGTTTACACACTAAATTACTGCACATAATAAACATCAACCAAGCAATTTAATCAGAATCAAACTCCTTAATAACTTTTTTCCTCATACAGAAACATGAGCAGAGATGATCTAACTTTCTATCTCAGCAAGAAGACTTAGCATGTAAGAGAAGGCATGCTGTACATAATTTGTACTATGTCTCATCTCAAATCTCAGAAAGAACTGTAAGGCTGTCTTCAGAAGTACTAATTTTGTTCACCCAGTTTGGCAAAACTCAATGAGGGTAAGCAGGGCAGAGAAAATCTGGCATTCTTTCAATAATCTCAATGTGAACATGGCATTCTTTCAATGATCTCAATGTGAACATATGATCTGTACGCATGTGTTGTTGGAAAAGTTAAGACCCCTTAAATCTATGGATTGCTGATTTACCAACTTGTCCTTTGCAATTTTACAGATATTACCACCTTCTGAATCTCATCTATGTGAGCCATGTTGTGTTAATTCTAATGTATATTCTACAATTTTAGTAAAGCATTCATGGTATGCTAACCTGAACTCCTGTAATTCCACTTTAACCTGTGGTCCAGTAACTCCTTAAATCAATATCCATGATGTACTGATGCAGCTGGCCTCACATCCAGCCATAATAGCAGGTAAAGACATAGAACATTTGCACCATACACAAAAGGCTTATTAGAAATTCCCGCCATGTAATTATTCCCACAACAATATTACGAACAAGCTCATGCATGTTGCCATTATTAAACTTCACATCCAGCTATGCCTATTTTTATAAAAAATTACTATTCTGCCAGAAATACAATTACAAGAATGTAAAGTAAAAGGTAACACTTCATCAACAGGATTGGTACTAAATTAACTTTGTGCTACTGTCTAATTATCAAAGAGGAAATGGAATTCATCCAGTGCAAAGATCCAGAAAAATAAAGCAAGTGAGGAGAAGAAATGTATCTGATAAGAATTTCCAAAATGGGAGGACCTTTCCTAGCAAAAAATATGCCTAATCTGTCAAGTGATGCACTCATTTGAAAGTAACTTCTAACTCCAAACAAGACCAAAATTCTCCCAAGAGATTCCAGTATGTTTATAACTGTTAGTGAGAGAAAAATAACCTCAAATATCTCCAATATCCAGGTCCTTTCGTATGTAAGAGTATCTAAACAAGAAAAGCCTCAAGTTAAGAAGACACCTGTACTATTTCTAGACTTTAATTTGAAGAACCGAAAATGAAACCATCAAACTATAACTTAATTTTGGAAAGCATAGAAAGAAAAGTCTGGGATTTTCATCAAGAAACCATCTCATACAACACTCTTTATGTGAAGCAATAAGTCGTGCAGAACTTACTGGATTAGCAAACAGAATCCAACAATTGAAATCCAAAAGTAACATCAGTTACTTTATGCAAAAGGCATGGTGAAAGAAACGCAGTGAGAGATATAGACTATAGGAACTGTATCACAGAGTTTTAATGACTAGTAAACAATATCAAGCATTATTTGACAATAAGAAGATATGTTCAAAATAGATAACTAACCCGCGCTGGTCCTTTTTTGTGAGCATGATAGGTGGGTCCATCTTTATACTCTCCATACCAATAATATGTCCTTGATCTCTGGTCATAAAGCATACCACCTCCATGAGCTTGTATAGGAGCTCCCTCAGTATCCAACCAAATCCTCCCAGGATAGTAATAGAAGCTATCATTCCCATTGTCCTTCACTGGATCTATGGCAGTTTTCATATCAGGAAAGAACACATGCCTAAGCTGGGAATTCTCGTCAAGAAATTCATCAATCAATGTGGTTGTCCGCTTAGGTCTTCGTTTTGCAGCACGTGGTGAGCGTTTTCCTCTAGGTGGGGGAATTTGGATATTCTCCTCTTCTACCTCTTCTAGTTCACGGAATAATAAATGTTGACTTTTGCGCAATTGGACTTCCCCACTTGCCCCATCTCTGTGGCTAACAAGGGAATAAATATGAAGCATAAGAAGAAAACCCACCAAGCTCCACACCACAGTAGACATTGAACATCTGCTCCCTGCATTGCAAGGGAAAGTGGTTGGTTTTCTGTATTTGTTCCTCATCCTCATTTTTCTCTTCCTTTTTATCTCCAAGATAAAGCTGCAATTAAGAAAATACAACCTAGGAGATCCAGTAAACCCGACCAACATAAGTCACAACGATGCTAATCTACATTTTGCCAAGAGAAGTTCTCGTTCCGAAAACTTCAAAGACCCGTAAAAAACTTGGAAACAATATTACAAAAAAGACAATCATAAATCACTGATTTGACTGTAATTAAGTCCTTAAAATTTCCAAACTCTATCCTTTCAGAATTAGCAAGCATAGTATAGTGGAAAAATAAGTATGCCCATATTGACTTTAAAATTAACGAAAATAATAGCAAAAACAAAACGTGAAAAATGAAAAAAAAAAAAAATTCAATTCGGCTTCATATTTTCTCGAAAAAAACAAACTGAAATATACATGAGAACAATAAACCCGATTACTGAAACCCAGCAAGACCTTCCAAAAAATAGCATATGATCAGAGTGATGTTACACAATTATCAGAAACTAAACCACCAATGAGTAAAAAGAGTTCAGTCCAGATCCAGTGAAACAGCTTAATCCTCCCGTAATTAAGAAAACAAAACCAAGAGCGAAAAGTCAATCAACTTACCTGAGAACACCTTAACCATGAGTTGAGCACCACAACCTCCAGACATGGGATTCTGAGTTAACACTCACTCGGAGTCAAACACAAGATAGTGGTAGACAAAGTCCACTGTATCATCTGATTAATTCAACAACTGGGTCACGTAACAAAAAAAGGAAAGAAAGGAATAGTGCAATCTCAAAAAAAGAGAGGAGAAGAGAAGTTTGTTGAGTTGTAATTTCAAGTTGAAGGGGATTTGATGACGACGATGATTGTGACTTGGGACCAAAGCTGTTCTCTCTTAATCTGGTGTGGGTTGGGCTGGGTTGGGTTGGGTACTTTGTACATGGGAATGGGATTAGATATGTCTTATTTAATGAGTGACTTGACTTGTTTCTGTTTAGATGAGTATAATAAAGGTTTACAGAACAGTGAGTTGCTTGTTACAGAGATAACACCCATTCAATTCATGGTTTCCTTTCACGGACTTTCATATTTCTTTTTTTATTTTTCCTTCAAATTTTTGAGTTTTTGTGGATTAACTTCGAAATGGATGAAATTTGTATAGGATTTAATTTAACTTTTTTAATTTTATTATCAAGATTTGATTGCATAGCCGCATACAAAATGAATGAGAAAGATTTTAGATTGATAAATGATTTATCATAAATCTCGATCAAGTTTAAATGGTTTTCAACTTTAAATAAATTGATTTTGAAGCCTCTAATTTTACAGGTAATTCTAATCTACTGTTGGGCACCAAATTTCAAATCTTCATTTTGATAAAATCAAATCATCAATGGCTTCATTCAAAAATAAAAAAAAATAAAAAAAATCCACTTTTACAAGAAATTCTTCATGAAACTTTTAACTCATAAATTCTATCGGTTCTGATCATTTCATTCATGTGTATCTTTTTATTGCTTTTATTTGTTTATATATATATATTGCTTGAATTTTCGCTCTATTATAATTCTTGCATTAATAGTAACAAAATTTGGATCCTTGTTTGGCTTAAAATATATAGGCGTATATATTTTTATAAATTTGTCCAATAATCAAAGATAAGTCCATTTTTCTCAAAATTATCAAGGACAATATTTGGAATGAGCAGGCATCGCTTTCTGCATGATTAGAAATGCTACCACCCAAACAAGGGAGGAAAGGTCGGTGTGGTGAGGACCAAAAATGCCCAATTCAACAGTTTTTTTATTTAATTTTAGTTTTGTAAAAGTAGGTATGTCATTTAATTGTTCGATTAGTTGACCAACTTTGAAAATCATCAACTAAACATTCATTACATTACACCTGTTGCTGAGGCTGTGGGAGGCAAACCCTATACCAAAATGCTGATTAATTGGAGATTCAACTATTATAAAATTGCCCAACCGAATTAAGTTAATTAATGCGAATTATTAGGGGATTATTGATGCTAATTTAGTAACATTTGTTAAACATTGTATCTAGATGTTATTTATTATTGTCTTATTATTATGCTTTGTTAAAAGTGGGTTAAGAGCCAATTAATATAATTTGAATTACAATCCTGGAATGAGCATCACACATTTTTTTGTTTGATTTATAAAAGGGATTTGGTCTCTGACTCTGGCATAACAACCCATCTATGAACCAGTCATATCCTTCCTTCCTCAACATAAATAATTTAATTAACAGAGTAAACGACTTTTGCCACCCAAAGTTTGCCTTGATGACACTTTTCCACCTAAAAAGTTTTAAAATACTATTTTTTCACCTAAAAAATTTTAAAATACCACTTTCTCACCTAAAGTTTATATTCTAACCAATCGTTGGCTGATTTTAACATCTTCGCGACCCCAAACCATCACCATTCTCTTTCTCGATCATCATTCACCAAAACCCCTCAAACCTTGCTCCCGCTTATCCCGCCAATCATTGGCAATTGAGCGATTTGTGAAACGCGTAGCCACCCCTCACAAGTTAGATTCCAATCAATCTGACCACTAAAATCTAACATGTCATCACCAAAAGACTCACTGACATCCCCTCTTTAAAAGTCTCAACAGCTTGGATTGAGTTTGCTCTTTGTTGGCCATCAAATCAAAAAATCTATTTTTGATAGTAAACAAAATATAAACTTTGGGTGGGAAAGTGTCATTAAGGCAAACCTTGGGTGGGAAAAAGTGGTTTACTCTTAATTAAAACTAAACATTTTTTAATCTAAACAGTAGTCGACATGATTGCATGAATTTGATATCAATTGAGGTTTTTTTTTTCCAACATTATTCTAATTATATTTACAAATATGACGCATTTTTGTAATACCTCGTAACCCCAAGTACAAATTACAGAAACTATATTTATCTATCTATCTATCTATATCAGGGGCGGATCCAGAAATTGTTGTTAGGGTGGGCAAAATGAAAACTAATTGTATCATAATATTCATATTCTGCTTTTCTAGTCAAAATTGTCACAAAAAGAAAAAAAAAATTATGTTTACTATTTTCCTTGGCGGGGCTTCATATTGAAGAATCGTTGCATGACCATCTCCTTATCAACACTGTCAAATATATCTTTATCAACATATAGAATTAGACTATCATTCAAGAATTGATCTCCCATCCGATTGCGTAAATGAGTCTTCACAATTTTCATAGCAGAAAATGTCCTTTCTACACTTGCAGTTGTAATTGGTAAGGTTAAAGCCAATGTGATGAGCAAATATACCAATGAGTAAATAAGATGCTTCTTCTTTTCAACCATTTTCTAAACAAGACTGGTTATATCATTTAGTTCTAAAAAATCACTATCCGAGTGCATATCATCAATGTAATTAACAAGTTGAAGTTCAAGTGCCATAAGATCAATAAAAGAAAATTCAAGTGGATAAAATTGAGCAAAACAAACTAATTTTCCCTTATCAAATGCTTGAAAGCAATCACTTGGATTTAGGGAGGCCATGCAAATAAGTAATTCTATATTACCTTCATTAAAACGACTATTAAGCTCTGATAGTTGCAAATCTATTATGGCATAGAACAACTTGACACGATAATGAAATAAATTTGTCATCTCTTAAACATTACGCCCGATCTCCCTCGTGCAACAAATTTCTCTTACATATTTGGCACATTTATATTATAAGCAATGCAAAAATAAGAAACTTCATCAAGTAGATTATCCCATCCATTATTTCTTATCAACAATAATCTTCTTTTCAACAAGTGAACCAAAGACATAACATTTATAATATTTTGATCCTTCCTTTGCAATGCTTGTGCAAGTTCAAATGTGATTCCCAAAATGTTTTTCATCATGTGTAGATTAAAAGCAAAATCAAAAGAAGTCGTATAATCCACCAAATCACTTGCTTCAATTCTATTGTCAGAATTTTCAGTAAGATCCTCAAGCACTTCAATAACAGATGAAAACAAATTAATCAAGCTCAATAAAGTCCCATAATTTGAACCCCACCGTGTTTCCCTTGGCCGCTTAAGACTAATATCTTGATTAAGGCCTTGCCCTATTGAAAGCTCACCACTTTCAATTCCTTTTTTCACCTTCAAAACTTGTTTCTCATTAAGAAGATCCCGACGTCTAGGTGACCATCCAACAATATTTATCACACAAGAAACTTTCAAAAAAAGTCTCTCAATATTTGTATCCTCTTTTGCCGCAACCACAAGTGCTAGTTGAAGTTGGTGAGCAAAATAGTGAACATAGAAGGCATATTCGTTATCTTTCAATTTAAGTGCTTTTAACCCATTAAACTGACCTCGCATATTACTTGCACCATCATAATCTTGTCCACGTAATCTTGATATGCTCAAATTGTATTTAGAGAACAATGTTTCGATTCCCATCTTTAGTGACAAAGAAATCGTATCTGTGACATGCATAATGCTCAATAGACACTCAACAACACATCCTCTTTTATTTACATAACATAAGATATTTGCCATTTGCTCTTTGTTGGATCCATCACGAGCTTCATCAACTAATATAGAAAAAAAAAGCATCTCCAAGATCACTAATTAGCTGATGGTTTCAACTGCAAATGCATTGATTATGTCTTTTTGGATACTAGGAGCAATCAATTTATCATGTCCAGGAGCATTCTCCAATGCTACTAATCTATATTCTTCATTTTGCTCAGTTATATAGTGTAAAAGTTCAAGAAAGTTTCCCTGATTCATTGAATTATCAGACTCATCATGGCCACGAAAAGGCAATCCTTGCCGAAGAAGAAGCCAACTTGTAGAATTGATCATTTCAATCGAATATTATAATCTTCTTTCTGTTGATCAGATTTCTTATTAATAATTGTACTCACATGCTGTTTTTGGTTCATCAAAGCTTGACAATTTTTCAAAGCTTGGTTATGATAGTTGTTAGGACTTCTAATATGATATTTTAAAATTTTCAAGTCTCTTCCAATTGCGAAACCCTTCAAAAACAAAAGAATCACTGCCACTTTGCTCACCTTTATTTGGTTTTAAAAGATAACAACATAAACAATATGCAGCATCATTCTCAACATTATATTCCAACTAGTAAGGATATTTATCAAACCAAGAATGTTGGAAACTCTGTTCATGATCATTAGATTTTGATTTGGGAAACTTATGGTTGCGAGGTTGACAAGGACCCTTTTGTAAATAACGCATTCTAACTTGGTCTTGAACATTAGGATGATAAAATGTAATTCTTTGTCGAAATCCAAGATCAAAAGGAAGATTTTCCAAGTCAACTTCGAAGCAATTTTTCTTTGAAGAAGGTTGGTTTTCATTATCATTGACACCAGAACAAGGTTGAGATGTCTCAACAATTGACTTTCTTTTAAAATATTTTTCCATATCTAAATACAAAGAAATAAAAATATATAAATACAAAGAAATAAATTAACTCACGAATTGAATTCTATAATAACTATGGAAATTCTAAGTTTTCCAACCATTCTTTATCTTTTCCATAGTATTCATTTAAATAATTATTGGTCTTAAATAATCAATCACAATTATGTCACTTCTTAGTGATTTTTCAGCTAAAAAAATTAAATTGAGTAGGATTTTTATATATAAAAGCTAATGGAGCAATTAAGAAAGAAGTATTATAATCTGAAATATAATATTAGACTATTAGTGTTGTTACCAATCTTTATCCGCCATTTTAGGCTTCAGCAAATAAAAAAATTCATGGTTAACCAAATAAACCTGCACATTGTTATCCTCTCTATTTGTTTTCAACCATCAACTTAAAGTCTTAAACAATATATAAAAATAAAAGCCTCCTTGATTCTATCTATATTTCTATTTCTATTATCTATATATTATTTTTCTTCCAAATTTTGGGACTTGATGAGTGCTTGAAAGTGCACTCATACTTTGTGATTTTAAGGGTATGTTGTGTGGGAATTAGGTTTGATTTGCTAATTTTACTTAATTTCGTACTTGTTTTGTTTTCTAGAATCACATGTATGTTTTATGAATCAGAATCATACATGAATGAATGGTTTGGGAATCAGAGCTCAAACGAAAAAGTTATGAATATTTGAAGATTGTTGGCAACAGAGGATTTTTGTGCCGTGGCATGAGTGAACATGCTGCACTAAAATGGGTGTAACTTTAGCTACACAACTCGGGTTGACCTGATTCTATAGAGTTTGAAATCTAAGAGATAGTTCTAGAACTTTTATGTTTTGGTCGTGATCCAGTTTAATATAGAAGATGGTTAAAATTTTATCTTAAAGTTACATCAGTGCATAGAAGACAAGCAGACACGGGTGGTTCTAAAACATGCCTTAGTGTTGCTACGATAACTTGAGCTAAAGACCTCAGATTTGGATGATTATTAAACCATTGGAAATATGATTTAAATATCTACAATTAATGTTCTTATGGTTTCGTTAGATTCAGAATTTTTCATGCTAAAAAGTGGAAGTCTTTCGATGCACAATTTTCCAGTAGCAGCTATTAAGGAGAAACAGACAAAAAAGGGAAATTTCACAAAGCTACCATAAATTCCTCAGCAAGAATTGGGAGCTGTACCACATATTTTTGTAAAGCTTTGGAAGTCTAGTTTGCCTAGAATTTTACGGTTCATTATTCTAAGATTTCTAGAGGAAGACATTTTTGTTTTAGTACAAAAGGGTCAGCAGAGGAATCCTAATTCTACAAGGACTCAACTTAAGATTAATCCAAATTCTATTCTCCTATTTTGTATAGGATTTTTCCCATTAGTTTCCAAAATGATGCCTTTAGGTATTTTTTGGGGAGACTAAAACTTTGAGAGAGGCAAGGAGAAGAGATCTACCTAGGGTTTCATCTTTTTATCTTGTACTTCATGTTTTTGAAGGGTTTGAGGTTTGATTTCCTTATAATTATGTGTAACTAATTTCTTTTCTAGGGATCTAATGTAATCTAACATGAAAGTTTTATGCTTTGCTTAATTTTATTGGTCTATTGATTCAATATATTTCTAGTTTCATTCATTGCACTTAATTCGATCTTGATGTTTTGTATGGAATAAGTATGATAAACATTATATGCTAACTTTTAAATACAAAACAGTTGATTGTTTGAGACAAGGTAAGGTAAACATCATATGCAAACCTTGAAGAGCTCTTTTGAATGATTGGATTGTGTTGAGGCAAACATCAGGATACAATTTGGTTGATATTTTGAGTACTTCTTGTTCTTAAAGGATTCTCAATTGTTAGACTTTACTAAACATCATAGGGAGTTTAATGGTTAAGAATACTTGGTTAAACCCGAATATCAAACGGTAATATCGTAATGATGGAAGATTGAACCCTAGGAATTTGATTGAGATAACAATAAATTAGTTATTAGCAGAGAATCAGATTGTTATGGTGAAATCGGATACCTAGGTTTTTCTTGCATTGGTTTTCAATTAATTTTTAATTTTGTTATTTAATTCAGTTGGTTAAGAATTTATTTTGCTTCCATAGTAGTTAGTTTAATTTCTTTTGTTTATTTTATTTGTTTAATTAAGGCATAGTATATTAGGATTAATTAAGTGCTTACAAATCTCTGTGGGATAGACCCTTGCTTTTGCACACTAGACTACAATAGCGATTTGTGTACTTGCGAGGTTGTAAAATTGTTCATCAGGAACCACAAAACAATCATTTACCTATCACAAAATATTGAAATCTAAAAACTTCCCCTTTTTCCTAAAGGTTTTCTCAATAAAAAATTCAATGATAATACACAAAAATGAAAGAAAAGCATTATACACACACACACACACACACACACACACACACACACACACACACACACACACACACAAAAAAGTGCTCACCAGAGAGAAAATAGCTATATATATAACAAATTAATCATATATATGTATCGATCATATATTACCATAGACCTTCGACTATGAATGTATGGGTGTTGATACAAAATATATGTGTAGGCATTTAAAACTATTATGATAATTTATGTAATGATAATATATACATGATAATCTATTATTTTGATAATTTAATAGCATATTAAACACATTTAATTTATGATTAATATATGTATGATAATAATTTTGTATATACACAATTACAGATTATATATATATAAAACTAAAAACCCAATGACCAACAAACTAACACAGCCCAGCCCAAAATTTAAAACAAACATCCAAAACCCAATTCCACATTTTCCCTTTTGCAAATTGCGACAACCCTAATTTTCCCTTTTGCAAATTTGCTCAGCCTCCATTTTCCCTTTTGCCATTTTACGCTAAACTCCAAAGGCCAAAAGAGATCAACATGGCACTGTGACATCTAGATCAAATCGAGAAGGCTGAGAGGAGGGTGTTTTGCTTTTGCATTTTCAACATCCATTGCTTTTGGAAGGTATTCGAACTAGTTATTCAAACAAGAATTCACAAGTTATTCGAACGAGTTAATCCAACAATTTTGAACATTTTTCGAACAACTCGTTTTGTTAATCGAACGATTTCGAATGATGATTCTGTGTTCATTCCAGTTTGAACACAATTTCGAACAACCTATTATGCTTATCGAACAATTTTCGAATGGGGGTGTTCATTCGTGTTTGATTCATTTGTAGCCCAAGCTGCATGTAATTAGTGACATGTGGGATATATGGATGTGTAGGACTTTTGGTTACACGTGGCTTAATGTAATTGGTTGGTGGATGTGTTTAATCCCTTCAAATTCCCTTTAATACAAACCCTTCACATTTCTATTAATACAAACCCTTCACATTCACATTAAATATCTTTATGTTTCAACTACTTTCTCTTCATTTGCATTCTCATCATCTTCTTGCACAAATCTCTCTTCTTAAAACTCTAAAAATTTTGGATTTTGACATATTGGATGATTGTTCGACACATGGTTGCATTTAATTATTTATGATGTGGCACATGTATATTTGGCTGCATGTAATTGGTGACAATGCGGGATATGTGAATGTGTAGGATTTTTGATTACATGTGGCTTAATGTATTTTATTGGTGGATGTGTTTAATCCCTTCACATTCCAATTAATAAAAACCCTCCACATTCACATTAAAAATCTATATGTTTCAACTACTTTCTCTCTATTTTCGTTCTCATCATCTTCTTGATTACACAAATCTCTCTGCTTAAAGCTCTAAAATTTGTATATTTTGACATGTTGGATGATGGTTTGACATGTGTCTGCATTTAATTGGTGATGATGTGGCATCTATACATTTGGCTACATGTAATTGGTGACAATGTGGGATGTGTGAATGTGTAGGATTTTTGGTTACATGTGGCTTAATGTATTTTGTTGGTGGATGTGTTTAATCCTTTCACTTTCCCATTAATACAAACCCTTCACAGTCACATTAAATATCTATATGTTTTAACTACTTTCTCTCCATTTTCATTCTCATCTTCTTCTTGATTACACGAATCTCTCTACTTAAAGCTCTATAATTGGTGGATTTTGACATGTTAGATGATTGTTCAACAAGTGGCTGCATTTAATTGGTGAGGATGTGAGATATGTACATTTGGTTGCATGTAATTGGTGGTGATGTGAGGTATGGGGATGTGTAGGGTTTTTATTTACATGTCGTTTAATGCAATCGGTTGGTGGATGTGTTTAATCCCTTCCCATTCCCATTAATACATGTTAAATCAAGAGAACAAGAGAGGATTCTTGTGTATTTATTATCATATATTGGTGAACAAAATACTTCTGTATATACTGTTACAATAAACTATAATTGGAACACAATAAACTAATTTCCT